CCCCCGGGCTTTTAAAAATTTGTGTTGTGACCTATTTAGATATCGATATTGTTATGACAAAAGAAATTACCTGTGACCAATTACTCCCTATTTAATTTACTGTATACCTCAGTAAATCAGACAAACTCTCGCCAATGAATATTAACCAAAAAACAATCAGTTCAATCAAATTTTTGTAAGTTGAAACACACACAAAAAGTTAGTTTTTTATCTCTCCAGTATAATTTCATTTTTAGCATACGTTTTTCTGTCACAAGACAGCAGAACTGCAAAAGGTAAAATGAACGTGCTGGACATATCGAGCATTTTCAGTTTGGTAGGAGTTTTTGAATTTTGCTCAGGTGGTGGTTGAAGCAAATACTTCTCAATTTAATGATCACCAAGTGATCTTTAAACATGCGCACATTGCACATGGGACCTCCGAGATGTTTTGCCCTTATACCAGAGGGCTAGGTGTCACAGCTTATCTACCCTAAGATCACGGGTGAGGCTGAAAGACAGCAGTAAGAAGAAGCAAAGTAGTAGAGGTAGAAAGGCTGTGGAAAGAATCAGAGCCCAGAGGAGGGGTCAGGAAGTGGAAATGAAAGCAGACGACAGAACATGGTTAAAGAGCAGGAAAGGACGTGAAAGCACAAAATTTTAAAATAGAAAATTTTCAGTTGCTGTCAGGTTTCGGACCCAGGACCTACTGAATGAGAGGCGAACATCATATCTCTAGACAATGAGTCCCCCCCCCCCCTCTTCAATTGCGACAAAGTAATAAACTAATAATGACATAAAAATTTATAGGGCAGAAGTGACACAGAAAATAGGCAAAGGCAGAGATTTAGGCCGGTCCCAGAGTGGCTCTGTAGGTCTGACCTGTAGCTGGCCTGGCGCACGCCGCGTGCGTGTCAGCACAGCCGCACTGTGTGTTGACGTGTGTAGGTGTGCAACTGATGGGTCTGCCTTGCTATGTTTAGATACTGTGTAATCCAAGACCAATCATACCAAGACGGGACAACTCTTCTTTACGTCATGTGCCAAGTGCAGCCCCCCCCCCAAACACACTTGCAGCTGCCCGCGGCGATAGTTTACATTGGTCACAATGCAAGGCAAGAATCTGCTGATCATCTCGGGCGGTATGTCTAGCCTAGGCCTACTAGAATTAAT